TGTCTCCCTAATCAAACACACCTGATTCAACTCATTAGCTCATTAGAAGAAACTCCAGGACCTGAAATGGGTGTGTCAGACAAGGGAGACATACAAAATGAGCAGTGTTGGGGGGCGCCCAGGACCAGGGCTGAGAAACACTGATGTATAACTTACCTCTCCCGTCTGGTCTGGAGAATGCAGGAGCGTTCTCTCCTCATCTGCTGGAGTTTCTCTCTTACTAAAGTTTTCTGTTGTTGCTCATCCTCCTAGAACATTTAGTCAACATTTACATCATGTCCACATTAAGGTGTCTGCTAATGTGCATGTGAATGTGTGTACCTGTTGTAGTGTGTCAGTCAGATGTCTGAGTGTGTTTTCCTGCGTCAGACCCAACAGATCTTCATCTGCCTTCCGACTCTGGACGATAGCCAGTCGCTCTTGAGCCTGAACAGACGGAAACACAATTCACTTACAATTCAGTTGTCAACCATTAACTTTATTCATATAGTTTTTTTCCTGCCCTTAAAGTCAACTTAAAATCAAAACAGATCCTACTTAATTCAAATTCCTTGTCTTGTGCTCAATTCATCATTGCATGTTATTCCAATAATTATTCCAACAATCCAGAAATGTCATATTTGGAAAGTAAGATGGGTTATGAATTTGGAAAAGGTCCAAAAGAAAATTATATGGCCTTTTTCTACTAAATATTTCACATATAAAACACATGGAAGCCCGTTCCAGATACTAAGTCACAATTGGGTCAATATCACTGTAGGGTGCCTTTTGGTGTCCTGTACATAAATAACTATTTTGCCATGATAACTTAACATAAAAATGACTATGAAAGGGTATGTTATATTAGGCTAAGTTTTTATATTCATAACAAAAGCATTACTTGGCTCTTTAGATACATTTTCTAGATTTTTTTTAGTTTTGTGTAAGAGGATGCGTGTTATTTTGCTATGTCCCATGCACTGCTCTTTACATTTGAATGATAGTAGAATATTGTCAAATCATAAAATAAAAAATTTTTGTTCTCCTATTAATATTTTGTTAAATAAGAGATTACTCAATTTGAGTGTATTGATCATTTGGTAATAAAAATTATATTTTTTATTTAATAAAAAAAAGAAGAGTTTGTCCATGTCCCTTGAATGGTTGTCCAACCTGTCCTATTGGGGAATCCGCCCCTTTAAGAAAAGGCCATCCCCTTTAGTGACATCAGGACAACAGATTTTTATTAAATTTGAATGATAGTAGAATATTGTCAAATCATAAAATTAAAAAAATTATTCTCCTATTAATATTTTGTTAAATAAGAGACTACTCAATTTGAGTGTATTGATAATTTGGTAATAAAAATTATATTTTTTATTTAATAAAAAAAAGAAGAGTTTGTCCATGTCCCTTGAATGGTTGTCCAACCTGTCCTATTGGGGAATCCGCCCCTTTAAGAAAAGGCCATCCCCTTTAGTGACATCAGGACAACAGATTTTTTGTCTCTTCAGTGGCGGGAATTTCAACGGCTGACATGAGTAAATTGGTGACTTTTCAATTGACATTTTCTTTGTCTTGAGTTTGCTTACTTGCTTTGCCAAAGCTTAACATGTCCACCCTTTCGGCATAAAACATGCCAGAAGTGATTAGAATACAGTATTTTCAAAATATGTTAGTTTAAATATACCAAATTCTCTTCAACAACCAGACTAAATATTTAGCAAGTCGCAGTTTGTTGTAAGCTAATATGCTAATTGAAGCTTAAAATGTCCACCCTGTCGGCTACTTAGACATGACAGGTTGGACACAGCCTTCATTTGTAGTTAATATTGCTAAAAACTAAAATGAACACATATCAATGTGATTAAGGATGTAATTTTATTATTATTATATTATTTTTTTCTAAGTTGAATAAATGTTTAATTGTCATATTTTGTGTGTTCTGCATTATGTGTCCACCCCATCATGTGCTGGTCCACCCTGTCATCTTGAGATTTTGCAATAATATTTTAAATAATAATTCAATCATATCTATATAATCCAGTGTGTTCAATAGCTAGGTGTTGGGGTAATAATATCACAGTTTTCTCCAAATAAGGAAAAATACATGTGCAAATTGTATGAGTTTCTTTAAAAACACACATAACAAAAGCATTACTTGGCTCTTTAGATACATTTTCTAGATTTATTTTAGTTTTGTGTAAGAGGATGCGTGTTATTTTGCTATGTCCCATGCACTGCTCATTACATTTGAATGATAGTAGAATATTGTCAAATCATAAAATAAAAAATTTTTGTTCTCCTATTAATATTTTGTTAAATAAGAGATTACTCAATTTGAGTGTATTGATAATTTGGTAATAAAAATTATATTTTTTATTTAATAAAAAAAAGAAGAGTTTGTCCATGTCCCTTGAATGGTTGTCCAACCTGTCCTATTGGGGAATCCGCCCCTTTAAGAAAAGGCCATCCCCTTTAGTGACATCAGGACAACAGATTTTTTGTCTCTTCAGTGGCGGGAATTTTAACGGCTGACATGATATTGCTAAAAACTAAAATGAACACATATCAATGTGATTAAGGATGTAATTTTATTATTATTATATTATTTTTTTCTAAGTTGAATAAATGTTTAATTGTCATATTTTGTGTGTTCTGCATTATGTGTCCACCCCATCATGTGCTGGTCCACCCTGTCATCTTGAGATTTTGCAATAATATTTTAAATAATAATTCAATCATATCTATATAATCCAGTGTGTTCAATAGCTAGGTGTTGGGGTAATAATATCACAGTTTTCTCCAAATAAGGAAAAATACATGTGCAAATTGTATGAGTTTCTTTAAAAACACATGGTTTACATAACATTTTTTTTTATGTATTTAGAATTTGAAAGCAAACAAATAACCCTGTTTAGGAAAGGGACATCATACCTTTCAGAAAATATGATTTGCATCTTAATATTGCAATGAAAACGTATTTAACAGTAATATATATATATATCCATGACAGGGTGCACATATCTTATGGTTTATGCTTCGAATAATGGCCCATAATTATCTAAAAAAAATGTGTGGGTTTCTATAGTACATGAGTGTCTACTATTTATGACATGACATAAAGCGAATGGGAAATTAAAACTAAAATATTTGAGTATTGAGAGGGTTGAAAGGCACTCTGTGGTGATATTGACCCAATTATGAGATTTAAAAAATCTAAATACATACTGTATTATGACAAGTCAAAATTATGGGAGACAAAAGTAATAACTGACAAAGTAAATATTATAAGTAGTCATAATTATGAGATAAAAAGTCAGTTATGAAGTCATAAGAATTTCAACTTTTAATCATAATATCAACTAAAATTCTAAATTTTTTGAATTTACCTCCTAAGTGTGACGTCCATGTATCTCAAATTTGGACTTTTTTAAGCTCAAAATTGTTTTGTCATAACTCCAACTATTTGACAGAACTATGGCTTTATATCTCATAATTTCGAATTTGTTCCAAAATTAGACTGACTTTATCTCAATTTCAACATTTTATAATTCCTTAATTTCATAATTAAAATCTCATATAATTTCATGATGATATAAGTTTTTGTCATGATTATGATTTAGCAAAGCATGTTTTTTTGGTTCTTGTTCTTGTGTGGTAGTAGGCTTCCATAAACACACCACATATTTAGAAAATGTCCCAGAAATGTCATGCAGCGTGGGTTGTCTCACTCGGAGTAGCTGTCTGTCTCGGTCTCGTTGCCAGCGTCGCTCTGCTCTCCTCTGGATGTCCACTAGGCACCGCATCGTGTCCTCCCGCTGCAGCTGCTGCTCCTCATCCGCTCTCTCACAGACCTCCTCGTTCCTCTGCTCCTGAAGCGATGCCTCCATCTCACGGCTCTCGAATGTTTGTGTGTCTGGGAAATGAACACTTGCTGGTGCTGTGCTAGTGTCTGTCATGCCAGTGTTTTGTAGCAGCTGTGGATCAGTGGGTGGTGTTTGCTCGGGCTGCTGGGTCTCACTGAATGTGAACTCTCCATCTCTTATGTCCTCCTGACATCAAAATAAAAGAATAAAATAAAATACTATTTTTAAGGTGTCCTTGTTACACATTACATGTACTTACTATTAGAATAACAATAAATTATACATAACCCTAAACCAAACCCTAACCATATAGCAATTACATGTAGTTAATTAATATTACGCAGTACTTAAATGTATAATTACTCTGTAACAAGGACACCTTAAAATAAAGTGTAACCTAATTACTTTGTACCTGCAAAGTAGTAGTAAAATTCATACATTTTGAAAGTATTACTAGCATATTGGGGGCACTTCAAATACTTATTTTATGTCACAGGGGTTCAGATAACAAAAAAAGGTTGATATCCTCTGATTTAACTTTCTGATATCACATATTATTCATTGCAGATAGTATGCAAATAGCAGAGAACAGAGAGATTGTATTATGGGTCAAAAGGGAAGCTGGATGGAGCAGAAGTCATTTGAAGTGATTGTCTTACAGTGATGAAGCCTGAACAGTCTTCTTGGATTTGTGTCTTTCTTTTCACACTATCTGTGTGATCTGAATGCGTTTCTTCATATTGTTCACTTGGCTGCAGTGAGACGGAGCTTATGTTCTCCTGCTGTGTGTAAATGTTCACATCATGTGGAGCTGTTTTATCAGCTGTCTCCTCCTGCACTACAATAGAGACGGCCTCTACTTCCTGTTGAGCTGAGGTCACTTCCTGTAGAATTAAACCTTTCTATGTATGAATGAACTATTTGAGCTGATTTAAGATAGAAAGAGTGCATATGTTTGTGTGTATGTACCTGAATGTGGTTCTCTGTGTGGGCTGCTTTGCTCCAGGCCAGTGTGATCAGAGAGTTTTGTTTCTCCACTGAAATCACCTGAGGGTCTCCTCTGCTCTCAGTGTGTCCCCGTCTTCTCTCTCCATCTCCATCGCTCGTCTCCATTGTGCTCTCTTCATCTCTTGGGTCTCTGACACACAAGATCTCTAAATATGGAGTATCTTCTGGATCTATAGCCATCCCGCAACCTTCGAACACAAAAATGCAAAATCACAAGATATTAAGCAGCACAACTGTTTTCAACATTAACAGTAATAATAAATGTTTCTTGAGCAGCAAATCAGCATATTAGAACGATTTCTGAAGAATCAGGTGGCAATGAAGACTGAAGATCAATGAATGATGCGGAAAATTCAGCTTTGCATCACATGAATAAATTACATTTTAAAATGTATTTTAATAGAAAACAGTTATTTTAAATAATTAAATTCTTTAAAATAATATTTCACATTATTACAGTTTTTTTCTGCATTCTTTTGAAATCCAGACTGACCCCAAACTTTTAAAGGGCAGTACAGTATGTGTGATTAATCTTAGTAGTTTTAATGTTAAAACACTTTTTCATATCACTGTTTAATGCTTAATTTTTAAGGTATTATATGAATTATCTGGCATATAAATGTTTGTCGTTTACCAGTGCAGAGGTCTTGTTTTTCACCATCTGATGGCTCTTCTTGTCCCTGTTCAGTCCTCTCTCTCTCCTAAAACAGACAAAGAAAAGAGTTACTCACATTGCATTCCTTTCAATTGAATACCTAGATAATCTCTTCAAGCAAAGTTTCTTCAATACTTTTACATTCCACAAAGAGTTCTTATAGTGGAAATGTTCTTCACACTAAGAAAACACAGGTTCTGTTTCAGAACTGTTCACTGAAAGGTTCTTTGGGGATCCAATGGTTCTTCTATGGCATCACTATGAACCCCCCTTTTTGAAACCTTTATTTTTAAGAGTGTAGTTTCTTCAGATCTCTGCATACAGTAGATTGTAGGCATCATCTGTTAACAGCTAAAGTGAAGCCTTGCTAAAGATCTACTCCATAAATGATTTCCTAAAAAATCATGAAACGCTAAAGAATCATGAAAAGAATCTAAAAGCTTGATTTGTGATTGATAATGTGTAAGTAATTAGTCATTACAGTGTGAGCGTTCATTGCGCTGGTGCCTCTGCTGGTGTGCGCTGGCACACGTGACTGCAAAACTTCACGTAGGTTGTAGAAACTGGGTCTGTGAAGTTCACTCTCATATTTGCGAAGCAAAGTCCAAAGACCCTCAGGATCCTGAGAAGTGAAAGAGACATTAATTCACACAATAAACATCATCTGCTCTGCACACAGAATGTTTGGTTTATTTACTACTTTGCTTTTCATATTCTTTAACTTCATTTTTGTATTTGCACGATCTATTTTTAGCTTAGTTTAAATTTGACAAATGCACAGTTCATCTTTTAGAATTGCTACAGTATGTACTATGGTTCTGTTCAAAATGGAATACTTGCATACTGATCACTGCACAGTACAGTATGCTGTATACTGTAATGCGTGTGAGATTCACCAAATCTGGCAGAGAGTTTAAAATGGTCCAGGCCTCGTCATCTTGTGCTTGTGTCAGCTGGGTCAGCAAATGAGTGGCACACTTCCCCCATGAGACATCTATCCCAGAACACCCTGGGGCGAGTGGTCCGGGATAAGAACCATGTGCTTCCTGTAGAGAGGCTTTGATCTGCTGCAGGCTCCACACACAGCTCTGTTCCACCGCGTATCCATGAACCACATCTGAAAGATAGACACGTATGCACACTTTAATGAAAACCAGAGGCACATTTTACCGCTGATGTGCTTCTAATGTTAAGTCACTAATCAGTTCACCCAAAAATGAAGCCCAAATCATACTAATTTGGAACAACATGAGGGTGAGTAAATGATGACAGGAATTTTATTTCACTTTTGTAGTGGTGTGTGTGTTTTTATATGTAGTTGATGTTTTTAACTGTTGTTTTTCTGAATGTTTCCCTCAAGGTCACTCAGGGAAAGCCTGTGTAAGATCTCCACCAATCGTTTCCTTTCTTGCTCCAGACACAGAACCAAGCACTGCAGCACAGCCTGATGGGTAATAAACAAAATAATCAATCTATAATAAAATTGTACATAACACAAGCATATGAGGCAAATATTTGAACCTTTAGGTCATTTTGGAATGATTATACAGTATATTACAAGATAATCACTCACAAAACTATGTATTTAGTTTACTGTTCATAAAGCTGGCTTATGAGGAGACCAAATTAATTTACCATGTTTTTCCTAAATTTCCCATAATTTTTTGTAAGAATGATACAATATATAGTATTTACAATATACATTAAAGGGGTCATGTGATGCAATTTAAATTTTTCCTTTCTCTTTGGAGTGTAACAAGCTCTTGGTGCATAAAGAAGATCTGTAAAGTTGCAAAGACTAAAGTCTCAAATCCAAAGAGATATTCTTTATAAAAGTTAAGAGTTAACCACCGCTACCTAAAACGGCTCGTTCTAACACGCCCCCACGTCTACGTCACGATGTGGGAAGATTTGCATAATGCCGCCCAAATGTTCACGCAAAGAAAGAAGGCGTAACTTTTATTCTCGCTGTAGTATTGTTGTTGCTGCCGCCGCCATGTCGTGAGGGCGCTGTGTGTTTCGTTGTGAAAGCGAAACTAACTTACTTTGTTTGGCCTTCCAAAAGAAGATGATATCCGCTTCGTCAGGCCTAGAGCTGATCCGTGCTGGTCGCTGAGGAAATAAAATCACAGCACACCTCACTTTTCAGACCGATGAGCTTTGTAAAAATCTACGCGTTTCAGAAAGGCGGGGCATAGAGCAGAAACAATAATGTACAGTATGTGGAAAATAAAGTGTTGTTTTAACCTTAAACCACATAAACACATTTCATTACACCAAATACACAAAATAATGTTCTTTTTAGCAACATCATATGACCCCTGTAAATATTTTATTCAGCAAGGATGCATTAAATTTATCAAAATTGACAGTAAAGAAAATTATAAAGTTACAAACGATTTATATTTCAAATAAATGCGGTTCTTTTGAACTTTCTTTTCATCATAAATTCCTGAAGAAAAACATATTATGGTTTCCACAAAAATATTAAACTATTTTCAACACTGATAATAATAAGAAATGGTTTTTGAGCAGCAAATCAGCATATTAAAATGATTTCTGAAGGATCATGTGACACTGAAGACTGGAGTAATGATCACAGGAATAAATTTAATAAAAATAAAAGTTCTTTTAAATTGTAATAATATTTCACAATATTACTATTTTTACTATATTTTATATGAGCACCAATCATGGTTTTTTCATTCCAACCAAAATTCTTTGAACTTATAACACAACATGCTGTAACTTCTGAACTCACAAATAGGAATTTGGAAGACTTGAAGGCACCAAATGTCATGTATATGTGCACACATTACCTGTTGTGCGCAATTTCCTGTTTTCCAGCCCTGCTGTGTTTTAGCAGTGGGATCCAGTTTTTCCTGAAGCCAGATCCTGGTGAGATCCTGACTGACTGAACCTCTCATATAAGGCCTAGAGCACACACAGATGGTTTGGATTCAAGCTTGCACACATCGGAGGGAAAGTAGGTGGATGTGTCAGCATGTAATGTTTTAAATACGGATGATGTGTCCACTTCCCATATTTAACATGCTCACCATCTGTCCCAGTGCTGTCTGGCGACCAGCAGTGCAGTGTAGGACTGATTCTCTTTCTCGGCTCTCCTCACAGCGACACACATACTGAGATATATAATACGCAGAGCTTCCCGTCCCAATCTGCAGGAGCAGTAAATCACAACACAACTTCTGCAACCATTAGCATGTTTAATACTACAGATTGATATTGACATTAAAAGGTCATGCTTAACTATGCCTGATATGACGGTCAAAGTTTCTAGTTATGCATGCTCATATTTATTATGTCATAGAGTGTTGAAGGAAGGACATATTTTTCTAGGCTAAAACCAGTAAATTAGTTGTTTTAGCACTTCCGGTTCCATTGTCGCAAATTCAGTGGATTTCTTGAATGTTTTTTAATTAAATGTGTGATCTGCGGTTAAAACAAGCTCAAGATATTTTCACATTTTATTCTTCGATATAAAATACATCAGTAATACACAGTTGGGGAAAGTTACTTTTAAAAGTAATGCATTACAATATTGCGTTACTCCATAAAAAAGTAACTAATTACGTTACTTAGTTACTTTTTATGGAAAGTAATGCGTTATGTTACTTTTGTGTTACATTTTAAATCTGGACAGGGCTTGCTTGTTTGTTTTTAAAATAATTAAAAAAAATTTTGGGCAAATATAAAAGCCTTTTCACACCAAAAGTGAAATGAATAAGCCTCAGGCTGAAGGGAAAGTAAATTTACGTCCGTACAGTAGAATGCAGAAGAAGACATTTCAACACACTTCAGCAATAAAAAAAAGACACACAGATGTTTGCCTAGAGTAATTTGTGCTTATTAATATGGTTGAACTGGATCATCGAAGGTCAGAAGCAAAGACATTGGTTAATAGAATGGGATTAAATACATAAAGGATATTTGTGTTGTTTAACATTTAATAATTGCAGGTTTGCGTCATTGCGAGTTGCATTATATATTGCATTATTTTTATTCATTTTGAGGAATACTGAATCGGTTTTGTTTTTTTGTGAGTGAGATGAAGTCATGCATATTCATATTTATTTTAGAACTACAGTTACATCTTCTGATTTCTCAACATGGGGACAGGAGAGCTGTCGATCAATAAATTGGAAAAAAAAGTCACTTGCGTTACTTATTTGAAAAAGTAACTCAGATATTCTCTTGTAAATTAAAAAGTAATGCATTACTTTACTATTTACTTGAAAAAAGTAATCTGATTACGTAACTCGCGTTACCTGTAATGCGTTACCCCCAACACTGAGAATACACACTAACTTCTGGGTTGGCCTACAAAAATGCGTCATCGCTGCAACACTACATTGCCTTCAAAATTGATTCTCAGAGTTGCCACTAGGGGCGCTATTGTAGGCAAAACCATAAATTGTCTTCTTCTATGGTTAGTTAAGGTCATCATGTGTCTGGACTAAATCGGCTTTAGCTGAGATATTTGAGACTTACTGATGCTTTAAGCCAATCACATGCATTTATGAGAAATCATCAACCAATAAACACAATAGAATGACCTGTTCATGAGTGAGCTGATCGACTCCTTCTCATCCTGATAATGTGACTCCAGCTCTGACAGGAAGATGACAGCGGACCAAGCCTGTTCCCTCGGTTTAGATGACCAAGCCTGATCTCTAGGTTTAACACTCTCAGGACAGCCTCGCAAGACCACAGAACCACAGCTCCTGCCATATTCATCAAATATAATTCATGTAAAATGTATCTGAACCACAGCTCCTACCATATTCATCAAAAATAATGAATAATGTATTTGGTAGCACTTAATTGAAGCTTATATATATATATATATATATATATATGTGCATATAAAAGTATTTTGGTAACACTTTACAATAAGGTCCTGTTATTTAACGTTAATTTTAACATGAATGCATTAACTAACATTAACAGTGAACAATACATTTATTACAGTATTTATTCATCTTTGTTACTGTTAAAATAAAATAAAAGTACAACAATTAATTGTTAGTTCCACTGAATAATATTAAAGAGATACAACTTTTGGTTTTAATGTTTAAGTAAATGTTGAAATTAACATTGTTTAATAAAATACATTTCATGTTAAAGAGTGCATTTAACTAAGTAAAACTTTGTGTTACTATTATTTTTAATGCATCATGCCTCATCATGCATCTTATATTAGATTGTATGATCTCATGAATAATTGTAACCACAGTTATAAAACATAACACTTATCTATCATTGTTGTTACACCTTTGAAAAGTATAATGCATCAAAACATTGATATACCAAATATATAATGGCAGACTCAAAAGTCAGCAACTGCACATACAGATGCACAAATAACGAATAGTACCTGTAGCACCGGAGGGCCCCGGGAAGCCCACACACCTGAAGCCAGTCTCTGTGTCTGAAAGCCAGCTCTACACACACTCCTAGTTCACACACACATTCTGTCTGATCCCATGCCGACATCGAGTCCCACCAAACAACACCTGTAATGATGTGTGATAAGATACTGTTAAACTATTCTGTGAAAGGGAACGTTTATGAACTCAGTATATCTGTTACCATACTCATCCTGCAACATCTCTCGGTACAGTCGCTCTCTGATGACTTCATACTTGTAGTCCAGGAGCTGGAGGATGTCAGTAGTGCTGGGACAGATCTTGCCCGCTCGCATGACGCCAGTGTTCTTCTGAGAAAGAGACAGTAGGACACTCCACACGCCGTCAAGAACGAGTCTGAACCGAAAGGAATATACACTGATTTTATTCAATGGGATTGTGAGCAGCTGAATGAAAGAGTGTGTGCTTAAAGTGACCTGGTGTAGAGTCTCTTCGCTCTGTTCTGAAGACACAAGATACTAAACTGCTCTGGATCCTGCTCTCAGAAAAAAAACAATCACAAAAGATGCACACATACATTTAGCAGATGCCTTTCTCCAAAGTGATTAACAAATGAGTGAATGAGCTAAAATAGAGTGCAAAGCTGATTAACTAAAAACATACAAAATAATACAAATGATATATTAATATAATGCAATATTATATACTCATTATTATATGACTTGGTTTTCTACCTGTTGCCTGGAGCTGAAGTTGATTGTTGAAGATTGTGTGTTTTGTTTATGATCAATTCTACCAGCCTTCAACATCTGGAGAGCCCAGTACAGCTACAGAAAATATAAGCCATTCACATCCTTGAATTTGCAACAATATAACTTCACAATTTATATAATATAATATCATTTCACAAATTGACACGATTTCCGAATTCAAGCACCCAAAAGACCCAAAAATTACAAGTATGTTTTTTGTTAATATTATTTCCGTCAATCCTAAAACAGCACAATGAAATGCACAATTCAAAATGCAAGAAAAATCCTTCATATTAACATGGTACATTGCAACAAATTTATTAAACCCAAAAATTACAAGTATGTTTTTTGTTAATATTATTTCCGTCAATCCTAAAACACAGCACAATGAAATGCACAATTCAAAATGCAAGAAAAATCCTTCATATTAACATGGTACATTGCAACAAATTTATAATTTTTTTTTAGAATGAAGTTATTTCTTAATTTAGATTAAGTATAAATAAGAAAAAAATATATATAGTCAGAAATAAAGAGAAATACTGTATAGACAGAATTGAATGTAATTGAAAAAAGACCTCTTCTCTGTTCTCACGTTGTTTCTCCATCACTAGGAGAACATGCAGAACTCCTCGGGCTGAACATGACAAGCCTCCAGTCTGACCTCTGACCTGAACACATCACACAAAACATTTCTCTTTCTGCTTCTTTTCTGTCTCACTCTTCTCATTCATGAGATTCTGAGACAGCAGAACATCTTGTTCACCTGTGCAATGGCTCTCTTTGTCTCGTCCAGGCCGGCGGTGATGAGGAAGACTCTCTTATAGAGGGAACAGATCATGTCCACGCCGACCTCATCATCCTCATGTACACCCATCGCCTCACAGACCAAATGAAAACACTCTTCCATCCTAAAAAAGACAAAGCACCTTGTGTAAGCTCGATTTCATCGTACCAAAAAAAATTATATCTATATACTGCACACACAATCATCATAATAAAATGAGTTCTTGCCGTACTTCATAATCAAATTCAAATATAACATAGTTTTACCTTATATAATTTAAACATGAAAAGAGAAAGTGTCTCACTTGTTCTGAGAGTTTATCTTCATGAATGATGCATGAATACAACAAAGCCACGTCTGTTGCCGAGGAAAGCGTTCGAGTCAGATTACAGAAGAGGACCTTCAGCTCAGCGCTGACCACACTCTTCCTCAGACAAATCATTACGCTCATTTAGTGATGATACTTAAACACTAAAAAGCCTGGCTGAATCCAAGATAGATAGCTACTTATGATAGATTTGACATTTTTTTGGTTGAATTTAACCATTTAGGATTTTTATTTAGTTTTTTTTTTTCATTCAAGATTGTTTTTTTTTTTTTAAATAGCAACCAAATATTTTAAGACTATAAACAATACAATTATTAAAATTATATAACCATGTAATGTTTACTGTAAATCTAAATTAAATTTGAGATTTTTTTTTACATCCGGTGACTTACATGATGGCAAAAAAAATAAAAATGAAAAATCCACCAACAGTTCATAATCAAATATGTCAAACACATATGAAAATGACTGGTAGAAAAAATAAGTATTGCACTTTTCCTTTACTGTTTTTCACTAAAAGGGTAATGTGAATAACCCAAATAAGAACAAACACAGGCTGGGTAACAGTGGGATTTTGTGTAATAACGTGACACAGTAAATATGAGAATACAATGTTTATGACAATGTCATTCACAAAAACTGACGGTTTACAGAACCTGAGAATGTCAATGCATCTGATGAATATAACAATCATAACTCAAAATAATCCTGTGAAGGCACTGTTAGATTTAGCTCGTGTTTCTATTTTTATTTAGATTCACTGTCAGTGTTGCAAATGAAGTGTCTTTATAACATATTGCTTATAAAACTATGTATTTTAAGAGAGTAACAATATATTTAAATCACAATACCAGTGCAACAGCCAAAAAACCCAGATCAAAAACAGTGCAGATAAAATTATGCATATTTGCAGATCCATATTGTTCAACTAATATTAATTTCTTTCAAAATATCAAATTAAAGAGGAAAAGTCCAGAAAAGCAACTTATGGCATGCTAAAAAAAAAAAAATCATAATTCATTATTATTAAAAAAAATGCTTTTTCCTCTTTGTACTCTTGTTCTGTTGTGACGAAAAAGGAGTTCAACTTTGTCCATCCTCCTATCAGTGGAAGGACGTAAAAATGAGCTCCATGAAACACAGGTTAACACAGTATCCTGTAATCAGTCAGAAACACTTACACACAGTAGCACCAATAAAACAATTCAACAAAACAACTAAATGCAGTATACAGTTGAAGACTATTTATGTGGTTTGTGATATAAAGTAAAGCTTAAATGTGCTTTAAGTTTAAGCATTTTAAAGTCAACACAAAACTCTATTCGTAATTCGGGGAAGCCTGTTTCCATCACAGGTTAAAAAATCTAAAGTTTTGACCTCATAATTTTGACTTTTTTTCTTGCAAATCTGAGAAAAACAGTCTGATTTGTGAGCTACAAATTCTGAATTGCGAGACAAACTCAAGAATCCGCGCAATTCTGATATTTTTCATTTCACAATTCAAACTATTTTTCTCAGAATTCTGAGTTTACAAAAGAGTCTGAATTGTTAGATGAAAAAGCAATTACCTTTTTTTTTCATCTGTTGCGGAAACAAGTGTCCATAGTAATTTGATGTATTTCTGAGTGAAACAGGATATTTGTTTTAATTATTTTTAATGTTACAATTTTTTTTGGGAAATAACGTACACTAATAAATCTTATAGTGTAAGACCAGGAATATGAATTAAAAAGAAATAAAGCAAATTCTGATTTTGTGTTGACTTAAAGAGCTTGTTGTGGTTCATCAGATCTCAGTTTTAGCTGGTTTGACTCCACGTGATGTTTGGTCGAGTTTGTGGATCTCAGAGATTGCCGTGGATAATTTTCGGGCATTTCTCGGGGGCGATGCAGTGAGCATTGTGTTCCACCAGGCCAGCGGGACACTGGCATCCCGGCACACAGGGTTTGAAGCAGTGAGCCTCGATCACGCCAAGCGGCACATCTTTGTTAAAACACGTCTTAGGACACGGCGGCCCGCATTCATCAAACACATAGCCACGGTCAAGCGGACAGCCCACGGCTGTAGGGATGAAGGAGGGAAAGGATGGAGTTAAACTAAAGCATAACAAATATCAAATAAAAAAAATTCCCTTGTATAAACATAAATACATAACTACATGTATATGTCCTTACATTTTAATATATTGTGTTAATATGCACTGCTCAAAAATATTAAAGAAACACTTTTTAATCAGAGTATAGCATCAAGTCAATTAAACTCCTGGGATATTGAGCTGGTCAGTTAAGTAGCAGCGGGGGATGTTAATCAGTTTCAGCTGCTTTGGTGTTAATGGAATTAACAACAGGTGCATTAGATGGGCAACAATGAGACAACCCCCAAAACAGGAATGGTTTTACAGGTGGAGGCCACTGACATTTTTTCCCCTACTCATCTTTTCTGACTGTTTTTCACTAGTTTTGCATTTGGCTCGGGTCAGTGTCACTACTGGTAGCACGAGGCGATACCTGGACCCTACAGAGGTTGCACAGGCAGCCCAACTCCTCCAGGATGGCACATCAATACGTGCCATTGCCAGAAGGTTTGCTGTATCTCCCAGCACAGTCTCAAGAGCATGGAGGAGACAGGCAGTTACTCTAGGAGAGCTGGACAGGGCCGTAGAAGGTCCTTAACCCATCAGCAGGACCGGTATCTGCTCCTTTGTGCAAGGAGGAACAGGATGAGCACTGCCAGAGCCCTACAAAATTATCTCCAGCAGGCCACTGGTGTGCATGTCTCTGACCAAACAATCAGAAACAGACTTCAAGAGAGTGGCCTGAGGGCCCGATGTCCTCTAGTGCTCACTGCCCGGCACCGTGGAGCTCGATTGGCTTTTGCCATTGAACACCAGAATTGGCAGGTCTTCACTGGTCTCCAGTCTTCACTGGTGCCCTGTGCTTTTCACAGATGAGAGCAGGTTCACCCTGAGCACATGTGACAGACGTGAAAGGGTCTGGAGAAGCCGTGGAGAGCGTTATGCTGCCTGTAACATCGTTCAGCATGACCGGTTTGGTGGTGGGTCAGTGATTGTCTGGGGAGGCATATCCATGGAGGGACACACAGACCCCTACAGGCTAGACAATGGCACCCTGACTGCCATTAGGTATCGGGATGAAATCCTTGGACCCATTGTCAGACCCTACGCTAGTGTAGTGGGTCCTGGGTTCCTCCTGGTGCATGACAATGCCCGGCCTCATGGGGCGAGAGTAATCAGGCAGTTCCTGGAGGATGAAGGAATTGATACCATTGAATGGCCCCCACACTCACCTGACCTAAATCCAGTAGAACACCTCTGGGACATTATGTTTCGGTCCATTCACTTAGATTTTTTGGGTGTCTTTGACTTCAGCCCTCTGTAGGTTGATAATTTTCATTTCCATCAAATGATGTGGCATCCTTTCGTTCCTAACACATTATCCAGTCCATATCAGTATAGATATCCAGCATGATATTTTTCCCCATTGAGATCTGATGCGTTTTCAAAGTGTTCCTTTAATTTCTTTGAGCAGTTTTAGTATTATATATTAATACATAAAGAATTGTCGCTTTTTTGAATTATTGAAAAATATGTGACAATCTACACCACCGTTCAAGTTTTAAAACGGTAAGATTTTTAAAATGGTTTTGAAGTAGTCTCTTCTGTCCACCAAAGCTGCATTTATTTTATCCAAAATACAAAAAAAAATATAGAAATATAATGATTTTTTTTTACAATTTAAAATAACTGTTTTCTATTTTAAAATGTAATGTATTAAGCTGAATTTTCAGCATCATTACTCCAGTCTTCAGTGTCACGTGATCCTTCAGAAATCATTCTAATATGCTGATTTGATGCTCAAGAAACATTTATGATTATCATTAATGTTGAAACCAGTTGTGTGCAATTTCAGTTTCAAAAGAACAGCATTTACCTGAAATAGATATCTTTTGTAACATATTTTTATATGTATCAATATATAGCTATACAGTACATGGCCTATGCATATATTGCAGTATACTGAAAAACATAAGCACCAACATACTGTATTATGTTTTCCAGTATATTGTTTCATTTCATAAGGGTCAGCTGTACAGAAGACAAATGTCATTATTCAGCTCAATTTAGTGAAATATTGATTCAGTTTATTCAATAACAGTGTCAATGTTGCAATATTCATCAATTATGAAAGAAATTTAATTCAGCTATAAAGCAGCTCTACAGAAAACAATAGTATTATTATTCAGTTCAAGTCAGTTCAGTGTTTATCCAGATCAGTTTCAAAGTTGTACTGTACTGTATGTGTATTTGTCACTCACCGCAGAGTGTCGGCGACCTCCACTGCAGGATAACTCCAGCCTCACGGCACTCAGACGCGTAAGCCTCCAACACGTCACACAAACACTCGTCTATATTGGAGCCGCAGGCACACAGATCATACACACACGAAGCATAGAACATCTCGGGTTGCACCAGCTTATGACAGCGCTCAAACACGGGCGACTTCAGCACTGCGCAGCGAGCATTCGCAGTCTTACGGGCCGAGTATCCTGCTTCTTTACATGGGTGAATGTTTATCGCATCAGGACACTGAACACTTGGATTTCCACTGCCCACCTGCAAGGAGAACAAAGTACATATAATTTAACATTCATGTGAAATACATGCTATACTAATTACAATAAAAAATGATGCATCAGAGCTGATATGCTTAGCCTTGGTGTATAAATGGGAAAACCGGTTTTGTTTTCCCGCATTCTCCATCAAAAACTGTCCCATTTCTATGTTTGCTGTCAGCTACTATACCACATATCAATAAGCAACCACAGCATAAAGATGTTTTAGCATCTTAACCTTCCAGTTGTTTCCAAACACTGCTTCAGAGTTGGTGATTTGTCCATTGCGTAGTTTCGTGTCGTCCTGAGGGTAGTTATTGAAGTTGCCACATAAACCACACATGTGCTTCTTGTAGGTACCAGGAACACTGACTTCCAGATGAGAACGACCATTCCACAACACCTTACATCACAATCAGCAAATAAACTCACAAGTGTCATCATGAAATTCATTTAAAAACATTACAAATAAATCCTATAGGATATATTTCCTATAGGAGACTGAACACAGAGTGAATTCATGCAGAGGCTGTACCTTCAGCCCAACATTGGTGTTCAGGAGGATGGTGTTGGTTTTGCGCTCCAGGTAAACATACGGTTCTTTAAGAAACGGCAGAGACACTTGCTGATAATCAACCTGAGGCATGGACAAAAAGAAAAAAAAAGATTTATCTGTATGTCATGTGACCATTAACCTACATCAATATAATGTAAACACACGCATATGTAAAACCATGTCTGCATTTGTGATCGGAGAAACGACAAACAACAAGAGCTACTCTACACTGCTCAAAACTCACATTTAAAACATCAGTGACAAATCCTTTAAATATGAAAACATACTTACAGGCTGTGAGTCAGCATTATTTGTCAGCTTCATAGACTGTGGTCAGTATGCACGCCGAAGGGGAAACGGGAACTGAATTCACCAGAACACCGGCGGCTACTCTCCCAGGAAACAGTCCTAGTCCTCCGTAAAATGCGTTGCACACATCTGAATATTTGGTTTGAACTGTTCTAGAACAGTGTTGTAAATACAACTTAATCACTGATTTCTATTTGTGTCCTCTTTTGGAAGACCAAACAAAGTAGTTTCGCTTTCACAACGAAACACACAGCGTCTCCACGACATGGTGGCAGCAACAATACTACTGCGAGATTCAAAGTTACACCTTCTTTCTTTGCGTATACATTTGGGCGGTGTTATGCAAATATTCCCACACAGTGACGTAGATATGTGGGGGTGTGTTTAAACGAGGCGTTTTAGGAGGGCGTGGACGAGTCTTAACTTTTATAAAGAATATCACTTTGAGACTTTAGTCTTTGCAACTTTAGGGATCTTATCTATTCACGAACAGCTTGTAACACTCCAAAGAGAAAGGAAAACTTGAAATTGCATCATATGACCCCTTTCAATTATTGAAATAGTAACTGATACTATTTTAGGCAAAAAAGGGAATAGTGAGAATTCAAATAAACTATAAAAACCATTTCAAAATATACAAAATACCATATTTATGGTAAGCAATGAAAAAGTTTAAACAACATTGTAAAACCTATCACCTTGACAATCCAGTCCTGAAACAGCTGTACCACAATATCTCCAATAAACACAGTCACTTCTTTAGTCCAAGACACTCCTTTACGTCCCCGGTCCTCATTAGACACATGAACACTGGAACACAAACACAAGTGTCTGTTCAGACTATGTACATATGGACTACACTTTTTAAATCTCTTTTTAAAATAATGTTGCTAACTTGCATTTTTGGGTGAATTATTCTTCTAATGCACAAAATACACTACTGTTCAAACATTTGGGATCGGTCTCATGCTCACACTCATTTGATAAAAAAATACAGTGAAAACAGTACTACTGTGAAATAATATTCTGAGAAAAAAAGTCAGAATTGCATGTTTATATCTTGCAATTCTGACTTTGTAACTCGCAATTGCAAGTTTATATCTCAGTTCTGAGAAAAAAAGAATTGTGAGATACATTCACAATTACCTTTTTATTTTTAATTCAGTGGCAGAAACAGGCTTTCATATTTTTCTGTTTGAATGTATTTTAAAATGTAACTCATTTCTGTGAAGCAAAGCTGAATTTTCAGCATCATTACTCCAGTCTTCAGTGTGACATGATCCTTCAGAAATCATTCTAATATGTTGATTTGCTGATCAAGAAACATATCTTAATATTATCAATGAAAACAGACATGCTGCTTAATATTTTTGTGGAAATTGTGATATTTTTCAGAACAAAAAGTTAAAAAAAACAGCATTTATTTCAAAGATTTTTTGTAACAAATGTCTGTACTGTCCCTTCTGATCAATTTAATGCATTCTTGCTGGAACAAAAGCATTCATTTCTTTTTTTAAATCTTACTGATATGATATGATTGAGACAATATACTGAGCACCTGAAGTCTCCGCCCTCACAGTCCTGAGCCAGAACATATGTGCACTTCCCCTGGAAGTTCACCATCTTTCCATCAAACGTTCGGTAGTGAGGGTCTCCAAACACAATGCAGGTGGCGGGGTGAGGAATGCAGTGAGGACAACACATTCCCGGAACCAGAGCCGGCATTTCATCCTACAAACACACAAATGTACGATACATTCAGCTCAGTTACTATTCAAAAATATCCTCACTAATACATTAAAACCGGTCAAACACCGACTTGTGAGTTTCAGTAGGTTTACATCTATGTGAAGTCCTCACTATTATATAGTATCCTCAAAGGTGTATTGTCATCCTACCGAGGCACATGTGAGCGTTGGGCATCTCTGGGTCTGGCAGTGCACTTCTCCGTACACACAGGTGCAGGACGTACACTTGTCCACTTCCCAGTGGTCATTGTGGTTGTACCGCTGACCATCGTACACACACTCTGCATGAGCGTCTTTGGAGTAAACCACAGTTATGATGCCTGTGCACTCAGGACAGCACTTCCCAGGCTTCTTCACTTTGATCGATCCATTGGGACAATCGAGAGGAGGACACTCCTGCAGATCACACTCGATATGCCCTTGCTAAAACACACACACACACACACACACACACATTACTTAAAAAATGTGCTTAATACTTCATTATGTTATTTTTAAAGGGCTAATGGTGTGATTAAAAGCATCAAAACTATTTCCTAATAAAACTGACATAAAGAATTTGATTTGAGATGTTCCATCAAATAAAAAAAGTCACAATTTTAGTTTACCTTAAATTTGTGATGAGCTTTTGTCTTTTTATTTTTTAATATTTCTATTTAGCTTTCATTTATTTTTATTGCAATTTTAGTTACTTTAGTACTTTAAAACCTTCATCCGTCCCTCCCGAACCTATAACAAAAGTGTCCCTTGTGGGTCAAAATGACCCGAAGGCCAAAAATGAAACAAATTTTATTTTTGGTCCAGAAAGCGTATATTGGTCCATTTTTATATATTTTTTTCAAATTTTTTATGTAGGTTTTTTTAAAATTATTTTTTGGTGATTTTTATTTTATTCACATTAAATTCTGGATATTTTTATGAAAATTGTATATTTTTATAAATGTTTTCACCAAAAACAAAACAAAGACAGACACAATTTCTGCATATTTATACTTTAAACATGATGATCCATCAGGACCTAGTTCACTGAGTGTCTCTGATGCCATCTGGCGGGGGAAAATTACATAAAATTGCATTTTATGATTACAGCCACTAGAGGGGCCTATTGAATCTTATGGAGATTCTTAAATGAACCAAACTACACCAACTTGAGGCTTCATTAAGCTTTCAGATATATATCAAAACATTAAAAATATATATATTTTGTAAAAAAAAAAGAAATTGATACTGAATTTTAATCCAAACACATGCATATTCATACAGTTTCATAAATATGTAATAAATATAAAAGATAAATGTTAAAATATAAATATGATATAAACTCATTGGTCTCCACCCCATCACTCAAATTTAACTGTCAAGTAAAAAACTAAATTCTAAATTCAGCAGAAACATCATAAATGCTATATAAATGCTATAATGTGTTTCAATGGGAGTGTGTGTGTGTGTGTGTGTGTGTTCCTGTGTGTGTGGGTATGTGAGTTTTTTGTGCATTGGGGACATTCTGCAGTCTCAGCCCTTTGTTTGGGTATGCATCTTTTCTGGATTGTGTCAGATTTTATATAGTAAAAAAATCAAATAAATAAAAAAATGCTGTTTTTTTTCGGACATTCCATTCATTCCTATGGTCGGGTCAAAATGAAAATTACTTTTTTTTATTACACCCTTATTACACCCACATAGAATCCTCGAATCGACTCAAAATTTTTTGTGTGTGCTCCATGCTCAAGTGTGACAAAATTAAATTAAAAAAATCTGCGATGGACACTTTTGATACTTTTTTTTATAGCACCCACTTAAACTGCTCGGATTTGCTCGAATTCATGTATTCGTTTTTTCATGTATTCCCGGTTCAAGTGTGACAAAAGTAACAAAGTCTCATAACATAACGATCAACGCTCGATTTTTAAAAAATCTTTAAAAATGAGTATTGGGTCAAAATGACCCGAGGGACGGATGAGGGTTAAAGTGTGCTTAATACTCCATTAAAAGTCAATAAAATATGAGTATAAATATTTTGCTGCAGATGCAAGTCTGTTTGACATCAGAGTTTGGTTTGTTTGATTGATGTGGCAGTTCTTTCACATTAAGAAGTATCAAAACAACCATTTCTAGATAAAACAGTGATGAATTAAACAGTTTGACTATCATCAAAAATAACATTAAACAGACAAAATTTTATGTAAAATTATTATAATTTTTAGTACTTATTGTTTTCAGAGTTTGGTTCATTCGGTTGAGTTGTTTCATGTTAAAAAGTATCAAAACAACAATTCCAGATATAACCAACTGAATGTGATTTGAGATGTTTCATCAAAAATAACAAAAAGTTCAAAATTTAGTTTGTTTTCATTTTTATATATTTCTATTTAGCTTTAAATAATTTTTAATTCCAGTTTCTGGTACATGGTTTCAGTACATCATTTCAAAATGTGCTTAATACTCCATTAACATAATTTTTTTTAGAGCTATTAGTGTGACTAGTTAGTGGGACTCTAGAACTTTTGGTCCATATGCAACAGAGTTTGGTTTGTTTGATGTGAGAGTTTGCTGAGTTTGCATCAAACAATACCCCCCCAAACAAAAA